AGACCCAACTGTGTAACAGGAACCAGACATTAGCAGGGCCCCATACCAAAGCACAACTGTCTCCATGATGGAAATACCATGCAAGGTGTAAAACCCAGAATTTGTGAAATAAAAAACAGCCAAAAAACAGCCACATATCATAACTCAAACAAAGGCTAAATCCACTAAAGTAAATAGTTCAGGGAATATCTCTAAATGTTCAAACCTTGCTTGAAATATACTAACATTTGAATTCTGTAGTGCTACTTCTGACTAACTCCTCCTGTTAAGTGGAATATGTCTACCCAGAATACGATTATTGTGCTTAAAACTTCACCCCGAGGAAGGGGAATTGCAGTTGCTGCACTGGAATCTAGAACATGCCATGTAGTTGGCAGTTGGCTAAGAAAGACTTTGTATTGGCTTAAACCCATTGTCAATCAGGATACTATTCTCTCTCTCTCTCCTGCCCCCCTCTCATTTTCAATCTGCCCTCTTCTGTCTTGTGTGTTCATTTGCATTTCTGTGTATTTGTATCTCTTTCAATGTGTCTCAGTCAGTTTATTTTCCGGTAATGTCCAATGACTTTCACAGATTATGAGGACACTTTTGCCAATTAAGAGTGTGCCTCCTACAGTTGGGGACCTGAAACCTTTTGGCTGTTGCAGGTACCCCCAGATACCCACCTGACTGATATGAAATCTCCACCTGTCCCATTCCGAGAATGACAGTCCCTTTGAAAATTCCCTGTGATGCAACCTCAGCGGCGTATCTCAGTTGACCCACAAGAAGCAGCTCTCCTCTCCAGGACCATGCTCTTAGGAGCTCTGGACTGGCAATATAAAGCATTTCATTTGCAAATAAGGAGTCCTGCATTCACTGCCTACCTTCAAGTTAAATGACACATGTGAGGGAAAGGGTCCCTGCCATTCTGACTGTACCCCCACATAGAGAAGAGCCCCTGATGCTATTATTTAACCCCCAACAATTGATTTCTAAGTGAGGAAGCAAAAATTCAGAGATCAAAATCAATTGATTGATTAATCATGATTGGAGGGAGGAACAGTATTGGTCCCAGACTTTCAGGAGTGCAAGGCTGGGAATTGCAGAGTGGATTGAATCTCTATGGGTATTTTCCAGTCCTCTAGGCCCAGTGAGTCCCTCCAGACATCATAAACTGTAGAGAGATGATAGAAGTGGGGGGCATGTACATAAAGACATCCCCCATGACCTTCCTTCCCACCTCTTCCTTCCTTCCTTCCTTCCTTCCTTCCTTCCTTCCTTCCTTCCTTCCTTCCTCCCTCCCCTCTTTCCTTTCCTCATCCCTCCCTGCCGAGACCTGCAGAGCACCAGGCGAGCTCACACCCTGATGTGCTATAGTCACCAAAGAACCTAGAAAGATAGTGTCAGGGAGAACAAGGAACCACAGCCAGACCGGTTTCTGGTCAAGCTGCACATTTTTATTTTTCACTGAGACCTTATATGGGGGTGCCAAGAAGAGACCTTAGCAGGAAGGGAGAGGTCGTTTGAGGCTGCTTGCCTGATAACCAGGCTGAGGAATGTCCCTGTGCTTGAGTCCCTGAGATTGCAGGAGGTTACCAAGGTCACAGGGTGCAGGTGTTAGATAGTGGGTTAGAAGGGGAGAAGGTTTGCTAGTGAACCTGACCATGAAATGTATCTTTCCTTCTGAAAGCTACTTTATGAGCCAGGGTGTTATGTATCATGGAGAAAAGGACTGAAGGCAGCTATTCTTTTCATTATAATGGGTTATGCTGGCAGCTTCTGCCCCAGTCTCTTACAGGTCCAAGGTTACTTTTGCAATGGCACACGGCACCTCCTTCACTCCATCCATCTACCCTGCCTCATTTGTCATCCCTCTTTCTTTCATTCTTTCTTTCTTTCTTTCTTTCTTTCTTTCTTTCTTTCTTTCTTTCTTTCCTTCCTTCCTTCCTTCCTTCCTTCCTTCATTTTCTTTTCTGTTTGTTACTCTGCCTGTCTGGCTCTGCTTGAAGATGCTCTATGTGCCAAGTTAGCCTCAGAGTCACAGAGCCGAGTCAGCCTCTTTCTTCAGACTACACTAATCAGAGTCTGGAGCACCACTTCATGCCTGACTCATGAATTTCATTTTAACACAGGAAAAGACATACAAACACACTCAAATGCAAACACACATGCGCACGAGAGAAACAGAGATAGAGATACACACTCACTGAGAGGGACAGACACACTGTATTTCTAGAGACACAGAAATACAGAGACACAGAAATGCAGAGAATACAGGATTGCTTAAGTATAGGAAGGTTATTGTGAACAGTAATTCAATATCCTGTTAGAAATGTCAAAATAAGTATGTTTTCTCTCGGTGTGCAATAAATGTGATATTCTAAGCATCCCTTGCTGACTTGGGCCTGAATTGGTAAACTGAGGTGGAAATCTAGTGAGTTTGATAGTGGTGTCTTTGCATTCTAAATGAGATTCCCTCTACAAAACCAAGACAGTCTCAAGCAACCAATAACCCAATGTCAACTCCTTCAAATATGACCTCCTAACCAAGGATCATATTCTGAAGCAGGAAATACTGGTGTCCTTTTGTAAATCCTATTCAGGACATAAAAGCAATCTGCAGTGGCAGCCTGGAATACTCAGGGAGTGTGAGTGGTTCAAGGGGAGCAATTATGTGAGATGAGGCTGTTTTACTTGAGTGGCTTAACCTCTAAAAACTAAGACAAACAAAAGTAAATAAAAGAAAAAACAGGGCT